TTTATTGCTGGTAATATTTTTCCTCAAAAATGTATTGCTGGTAATATTTTTTCCTTCAAAAATATACTACTGGTAATAATGTATTGCTGGTAATAAATTTTTCTTTAAAAATTTATTGCTGGTAATAATTTTTTACAAAATATATTGCTGGTATTAAAACCTATTTTTACCCTTTCATGGTATTTTGACCCCAGTTTGGGGGTAAACTACTTTCCCATATTTGGGACCCTAACAGGTGCTACCACCCCGAGTCAGGGTGGACCTGGGAACACTAGCAATTAAGAGGTGGTTCAACGCTCCTCAAAACCTTCTGATCAGAGGCCTTGCTGTTGGACGTAGTTTAACGTCTTACCCTGGACGCGGATGTAATTTATCGTCATACCCAGGACGGTTTAGGAGCTGAATAGCAGGCGGTAAGAAGTATAGTTTATGAGAGTATATAACATTCAACCCTAGACTTGAGGGTGTTAAGATTGTAGTGATCAGGGAAGCACTCTCTCAGGAGTCTGTTTCACATCCCTACTTCTCTCTCTATTTCTCTCTTACACACACATGTATACGTACACGTACACATGAATGCGTGGAGTCTCTTGAGTTTGTAAACATTTTCCATTACTTCTTTTCACCATTGTTATAACAAAGACACTGCCACCTGGCGTCACGATCTTGAGGGCGATAACCTTGAGACACAAATAGTTGTAGATATTACAGACAAAATACTACTTGGCGTATTACAAGAAGGGGTGCTGAAAATCATTCAGTGTCGACAATGAAGAAAGTAATCTGCAGTTATGAGAAAACTGCTGTCCGTTTTGGCTTTCCGAATGGCACGCCTGAAGAAATTAACCTTTATAAAAAAATATGTTTATTCCTTTTCATTTCGTTCTCACTTGTTCACTCACAGACTCTTTCATATATGACCACATACATGAAACAATGATTAAATACAATGTTTCTTGAGTTTCGCTAACTTTCATTGAATGTGACGTTTTCGTCATTTTAGACGATTGACGGCATACGCTAAGGAAGGTCAGACGTGTAAATATCTTTTTCTTCAGAAACAAGAAACATTTATAACAAAGCTATATAAATAAATGCGAATATCAGTGTGTCACACTTTTTCAACTTTACTCCTACAGACCGTAACCCAACATATCATACCATTTTGGAATCAGGCCGACACCGTGAGCAAATTAAAATCATTCCAGACCGGACCTGAACCCACAATCCTGAAATTTTGGATTCCCAAATTTTCATTACTGCAATTATTTTTGGCAATTTTTTACATGATTTTTTCCGACAAATTTTTTTGTACGATAACAGTTTTTATAATTTGGAAATAAATTTGGGAATAATCGAAATTAATAGCAAAATACAGCGAAAGTCACCCATGAGATAAAAATAATTGTTTTTACACAAAGTAAGGACCTACGTACATCAAACTGTTCTTAAATTAAGTGGCCAGTGAAGAATTATCATTGAGATTTTAAAAGGTAAGCTTAAATATTAATGCAGTATTTAAATGCAGCGATCAATTTTGATTTCTTCTGTTGTTTATTGTTACCTGTCGCATCTCCTCTTCCCCTGTGATGAAGGCCCAATCAAGAGCTCTTCTTAGAAATTAGCTTAAATGCATCCTGATAGGGCAGCTTGTAAGTTAGTGTATAATAAATATTAACACAGCGGCATCTGTTAATCACACTGTCATCAGTGATAAGATTACAAATTTTTGATTTTCCGAAAAATCTTTTCTCCAAAGAAAATCAGATTTTCGTGTTCTTGGGAAGAAGCTTTCTGGGTGGAACATCCTTCTTAAGAATTCTTATAGGGAATAAGGGTAATTCAAATCTATTGAGGTAGCAAGGCGAGTTTTTGCTGCAATGGTCCGAGCTGGTAGTCTTAAAGAATGGAGATCGTCTGAAAATTTGAAATGGAAATAGCTATAGAGTAGCACATTGCGTCTACGATAAAGGAACTGTACGCTGGTCATATTTACCATTCATCCATGCTTCGAATATTGCTGCCACATATGGTCCGGTGCTCTTGCTATATATCTAGAAATCCTTGATGAAATTCAAAGAAGAATCAGCAATATTATTGGTCCTGACCTGGTATCTCAGCTTCTGACACTTTCCCACAGCTTTAAAGTTGCCTCCCAGTGCCTTTTCTATAAATACTTTCATGCTAATTGTTCGGATGAACTCTTTGCTATGGTAGAGTTTATAAATTTAAGCGCAGTACTCTACTGTCACTGAGGTCTTACCAATTACAGTTAGTTGGCTAATTCTATGCTAACAGTTTCTTTTCTCGTACTTCTCGCTTGTCGAACTCTCTTCCGGCTCCATGTTTTCCAGTTAAATTTAATCTTAAAAAATAAAATAAATAAATACAATGTCAATCGCTATCTACTGTCCTCCTGATCACTCTTCTTTTGTTCCCGCTCCTTAGTAATATTTCTGTTTTCTAATTCTTCCACGCTCTGTAAACCCCCCCCCGTGTCTTAGTAGCTTTATTGCCTTGCTTGGGGTGAATTCGATTAAAAAAAAATCGTCCTTCAGATTTTGAACTCTTGTGATATTTTATATGAGTGAATTACACTCCAGTTTATTTCCAGTTTTGCTATTCAGACCAGAAATAGTCATCATGTCGTCACACTCGGTGGGCACACTGAAAAATACACTTATCTTGGTTTTTATACCCAGAGCCTTTCGGTTGTTGTGTTTGCTTCGGGTGTTTGTTGCACACGATAACCTTCTCGAAATTTGGAACTGACATAAATAACAGGAACTTGCAATCAATTGGCTTCCGGGTCAGTTAGTTGTGTCGAATTATTCAGATCAATTATATTTTCATTTATTTCTTATGACATTAGTTTCAAAATGTTTTATGTTGCACTAAATCATGCCACAGTATAAAGAAATTTCAATTATTAGCCTTAATAGTTTGGTTTGGTTTATTTTGTTTTACGGCATATCAACCTCAATGGTTATTTAATGCCGACAACATTTTCAGGATAGATTCGTATGAATAGAATATGTATTCTTTGGTTTAGATTGGTTTGGTTTATTTTGTTTTACGGCATATCAACCTCAATGGGTTATTTAATGCCGACAACATTTTTATTGCTGCTAATATTTTTTTTCCAAAAATGTATTGCTGGTAATACATTTTTGAAAAAATGTATTGCTGGTAATGTTCTTTTATATTTTCGCAGTGTTTTGACCCCAGTTTCGGGGTTAACTATTTGCCCATAGCTGGGGCCCTAACAAGTGCTACCACCCTGGGTCAGGGCGGGCCTGGGAACACTAGCAATTTAAGAGGTGGTTCCACACTCCTCAAAACCTCCCGATCAGAGGCCTTGCTGTTGGATGTAGTTTATCGTCTTACCAAGGATGGGTTTACACACTTAGATTCCGGATTTCAGGTAAGACCGTAATCAGAAGTCATTTTTTATCTTCTGGTATTTAGTTGCTGATACTTATATATTCATATTTCTTTTCATCGCTACTCCTGCTATCCTCTATGTTTATGATATGTCCCGGAAATGGATATATTTGATCGAAGTAGCTAAGTGGTTTTGGGCTACTGTAACCAAGTAGTACACGGTAGCAGTAATCGACTGGTACTTGTCGTAGTCACAGGTAATAGGTGTAGACCAATAGAATAGCCAATGGCGTCGTCCAATGGGCGTCGTCATAGACTTAAACTCTGTCGTACCTACACGTCCGTCTGTATTTTAGCCAATCATATTCCAGCGAGGGGGAACTCAGGTGTATGCATATTCCATTATATCAGTTTACAAGATGCCGAAAATGAAGTCACACCGCTATATATGGGCAGCAGCTGTCCAGTCTCGATAGATCCCTGATGTAATGAATATGCATACACCTGGGTTCCCCCTCACAGTAATATGATTGGCTGGTGTCAGCCATAAATACGGACTGATGTGGAGGTACATGAGGACACCTATGGATGACGCCTATTGGCTACGCCTATAGTCTTCGCCTATTGCCTATCATTACGACGAGGACCAGTCCATTATGGTTATCTGCTAGATTGTCCTATTCGCTTACAATAGTCCAAAACCACTTTGCTACTGCGAAAAAATATATCCCTTTCCGGGACATATCAACCCCAAATGTATCGCCGCGTCCTTGTCGTTGATGAACTGCTTTTCTATCTTACAACCCCTTTCCCACAGACTAAAGGTTTCAAGCTGCTTCATCGCTATTTCAGACGAATCACATCCCTTAGTTCCACCAGTTTTAACCTTCATGGCTAAGAGCCGCCATATCACGCACACTGTAGCACACCATCCTCATTCCCTTCGTATTGGTGAGATGTAAGTTCTACTCGAACAGCTTCTTCCCAGGAACTGCTACTTTGTGGAGCCGACTCCCAAGAGGATGCTTTTCCAATCACTACAGCAACCTGTTCAAATCTAGGGTTAACCAGACATCCCCATAAACTTTACCCTTTATTCTGTAACGAGTTGCTCTTGGGTCTTGGACAAGGTGAACATTAATGTAAAAAATATATTTCATTATTTATTCTCTTAAGTTTATTGTTTCTCAGTGAAAGACATTTTTAATTCTGACCCTTTCGATGAAAACTTTGTTACCAGATAGCTTAGCGCATTCAACTGGATTTGATGCAGGACTTGTTACAATAATAAAACGGCATGGCGCGGATTTTATTCCCATGATAGAAACACTTGCCATTCGTCAGATCTGCCGACTGTTTCGAGTCAGAATCCTAGTAAATTTGAACCGATTTTCTCTCCACTTTTTCTCAACTTATCATATTTACTTATATCCGAGTTGAATGAGTGCACAATGACTGTTTGTTTTTCTTCCGTTTTTCTTCTTTGGTCAAGCCATGTAGGGGTGAAAGAGGGTAGATGTGTATCTGTTGTCGCTTATACTGTAATGGTTTCTCCCTTAGACACCACCGCGACAACAGATATACATCAGTGCATGGCCCTCTGATTAGAGTCAAACGTCATGAACTTGGTGAACCGGGCTGCCTGGGCGCGGTTGCGTGCAGAAAATTGGATAAAGAATATAAATGGAATGAAAAAAAAAAGAGGAAGAGAGATAGATAGACAGACATACAAACAGGTAGAAGGAGTTAAGAGAGGAAGTAGAAGGAGGTAAGAGAAGGAGAGAGAAGATATTAAAGAGATGGGGTAGGTAGATAGGAGATGAATAAGAGAAGGCGGAGCTTGCTCACTCTCTGTCTGCACGCTGCATTGTTCTTATGTATTTCCATCGCTCCCACCGCCTTTCCCCACTCACTGCTAGTATCTCGCACTCGCTTATCTGTACTTAAAGATCTTTTATACCTATACCGACCAACCACGATGCAGTTTGGAGCCGACATTTTCGGAAAAAAAAAAGAAAAAAAAAGCAACTCATCACTACAAAACAAGTTGATTATGAAAAAAAAAAAAAGATGGCAAGCAACCCCACGTTTTCTCAAGACTCACTTGTTAAATTCAACAGTGGGGTTAAACATTGGATTTCATTGATAACATTTTTCTCTTCCTTTTTTTCTCCCCACCATCTATCTCTGCTTTTCTTTCTTGTATATTACTATTATTATTATTATTATTAGTTTTTAAGAGTACGGACGCATGCGCATGATCACGTATGTGTGCACCGAGATTACATTTTTATTGTACACACTTTGGTAAATACGTTTGTGTTTCTGATTAATTACAAAGATGCTATTATGAATGCCGACACACAACACACACTCGCACAATAGTACACACATACGCAAACACGTGCGCGGGAGCACACACTCACACACACACACACACACACGCACACACTCACACACAAGAACTCTTCACACACAAATAATTACCAAGGAAGAAAGTTTTCCCTAACTCCTTTGGGGTTTTGATGTTCTTGTTTTCAAATATCACTGGAACACCTTTGGTTCGTGTGCTCATGTTCCTCAGTAGAAATTTAATGAATATTGCCTTTTATCAAAGCCGGTGTCATTTCATTTGCTTCTATAAGTGGTTAGAATCAATACATAAATGATGATAATAATAATAATAATAATAATAATAATAATAATGATGATGATGATGATGATGATGATGATGATGATAATAATAATAATGAAATCGAAATCTCAAAAATGTGGCAAATGAGAACATCAAAAATCCTTGTTGTAGTAGGTGTCCTCGGATTGATTTGAAAAGATTCCAATAGACTCATTGAAGGGATTCCTGGTAGTCCATGCCTTAAAGAAACATAAGAAATTGTTCTCACGAGTAGAGCCCACACCTTACGAAGGGCTTTATCAATATATATTTTTTAAAATTTCGAAGTGGAAAATGTCATGATGCCATTTCTGACCTTAGGTCTCTGGTGAGAAGAGGCGATCCAGTCCTACACCACCTTTGGGAAAGTGCCCGAAAACTACGTGTTGACCCAAACCTTGTGAGTGAAATTGGGTAGACTGAACTGTTGGGAAGCCGAGATGGTTGTGCAAATCCCGAAGTCGAAAGTTTGGACGTACTGGCGTTGCTTAAACTGCAGATCATGCCAAATTCTGCGCTCTCTATCAAAAACTGTAATTAAGTTCCGTACAGTCTAGTCTTAGTAGAAACCACGGGCAGGCTCTGTGGGTGCTGAACAAACACAATATGCCTGTGCAGGCGTCTGCAAGAGGAGATGCCTAGTTACCCTAACAGACGGGCGTGTTCGGAAAACGAGTAACCAGCTGTTTATATGTGCGCAGGCACATGATATGTTAAACAAACAATCAAACTATCGCTTAAAAAGAAATCGTTCGTCAATGAGTGAATGAGAACAAATATTATGATTATTTTGCCAATAGGACAATTTTAAGACAGCTATTAATATTGAAAAATTACATCTGGCAGCAACTCTACCCTGACCCGGTGTGGTAGATCCTGTTAGGGTCCCAACTATGGGCAGAGGTTAAAATTCCAAACTGATGCTAAAAAACTGTGTGAAGTATAAAAAATACATTTACTAGTAAAAAAAAAGATACCAGCAATAGATTTTAAAATAAATTACCAGCAACAGATTTTGTAAAAAGAAAAATCTTCCAAGAAAATTAAATTTTGGCATTAAATGACCCATGATGAGTTGATATGCTATTAAACAAACAATCAAACTATCGCTTAAAAAGAAATCGTTCGTCAATGGGTTATCGCGACAAGATTTTTATTGCTGGTAATAATTTTTCCCAGAAGTATTTCTTGTAATATTTTTTGAAAAATATATTACTGCTAATATTTTTTTCTTTCTCTGAATCGAAATGGACAAAAAAAAAAATGTTAACTATATTGAAATGCTGTCAAAAGTCTTGGTTCCATTAATGTACGTTTTGGTAATGTTTTTTTTTTTTTTTTTTTTTTTACAAAATGTAGTACCGTCTGGTATTAAAACCTATTTTCAAGTGTTTTTCCTTTTTAATTTTTTTCAAATTCATTCAATTGTGATGCCACTGATGGTTAAGACTATTTGCCCACTCCTCCGAATATACCTGGGACACTAACCACTATGTTTGTCGATTTCAGTTTCGACCACCCCAGGTCCCTTTGGGTCCTGTTTTGGCAAATATTTTTTGTGAACCTGGGAACATCAGCAATTTTGTGTGTTCAAGAGGCATTTCCACGCTCCTCAAAACCTCCTGATCAGATGCCTTTTTTAGATATTCTTGTTCGGATGTAGTTTATCGTCTTACCCAGGACTATATACCATGTTGGGACTTTTCTAAACAACAAAAGCCTGCCTTAGATCTGTTCGTACAAGACCGAAAGTTATGGGGCAACCTGTTCAAGCAAACCTTAAAGGAAAAACTTGAAAAAATATAAGCGAACGTTCGTGTTGTTTTTCAAACTGGTCTGAAGAGTGGATGGAGACGTTTGGACCTTAAACAACACGAAACTCTGAAGTTGGGGGCATTTTAAAAGGTAACATTTTCCGTCTTGGCCAGTTCGCACTCCTTAGCTCTCAAGGTGATAAACTTTTCTCTTTGCAAACAAAGAGATTTGTTGGACTTGCTGTTCTCTCATATATATATATATATATATATATATATATATATATATATATATATATATATATATATATTAATTTAATTAAAACAATTAAAACAGGCAACCTTAGGAATCCATTGATTATATTTTATTTCTCCAGGAAGTTGTTATTTTCCTGGTTCATCATATCACATTTCCAAGCATAAAATATATATGGCCGTAGTGAGAGGGAGATATGTTGTCCTTAGAACTAATTCTTTTTTTACTCTCAACCCTTTCGATTAGATTCATGTATAAGGAGGAAGATTATACGTATTTGTCTAAAGCTTATACAGGCAGTTCACTGATATGAGTGTTAAGATTACTTATTACCTGTTACTATGTACATACTTTACACAGGTACACATTGGTATCATTCATTGGGATGTTGCAATTTTATTTTTCGTCGGTAGATTTAGAATCTCGTCCTCGCGGCTGAAGTCACGGATTTAGCGAGGCTACAATTGAGGGGTACGTTTTCGCTGATTCGAATGGGTAAATATTCCTGTGAGACGTTAATATTATAATTTTTTTTTTGTTTTTTCTTAATCCTGTGTATTTATTTTGCTTTATATCTGAAGTTGAAACTTAAAGTTTTTGCGCAAAAATCGGTCAGCAGTCGGAAATTCTCAAAGGGAAATCAAAAGGTAGAGATTTAAAAAAAACAAAAACAAAAAAAAAAAACACATATACGCAACTGTTCTCAGCAGCGAATTACGTTAAAGGTTTTGATAAAGCCGTTTATCTACGCTCCCACCTTTATCAACGATGGTAGGTTTGGCACAAGTTTGGCTCAACGCAGAATCACGTGTCCTGGGTATGACTTCAAACTACACCCGTAAGCAAGGTCTCTGATTAGGAGGTTTTGAGGAGCATGGAATCCCCTCTTAATTGCTCTTGTTCTCACGTTCACCCTGACCCGGGGCGATAGTACATGTTAGGGTCCCAACTATAGGCAAATATTTAACTCCAAACTGGGGTCAAAACACTATGAAGGTATAAATAAAGCATTTTTATAGCAAAAATACCAGCAATACATTTTTGTTAAAGGAATTACTAATGCTCCTAAGAAAATTACATTTCGGCATTAAATGACCCCTAAGATTTTGATGTACCGTTAAGCAAACAAAGAAACAAACTCAGAATCCCGAACACGTACATGTGGGCGAATCCCTAAACACATTATTTTGGAGAGATCTTTGAAGCGTCAGGGATTCACACTGACCATTTAAGTGCAATGAAGAAAGCCGCTTTGAACTGGACTTTGGCTAATTTCCTGCTTCGTGGCCAAAAAGGTCAAGGAGGGGGTTTTATCTTACTAAGATTAGCTATGTTTGGCACAAGACAATATGTATGAGCTTCCTACTGTGGCTCGAACCCGTTACTTTATTGTATTGGTCAACCAGACTAAACATTAATCCACACCCATGTGCTATCTATATAATAAACGTGACTTAGTTTGGCTCAAAGCCAGGAGTTTGGAACACCTAGCCGGTATTAATGGCCAAGTAGACTAACTCATTAAACATTAATTCATTTCGAGTTATCCCTCAAAATATTAAGCTTAACTTAGTTTTTCACAAGGTAACAGGTATGGGGCACTCAGTGAGATCCAAACTCATTAATGATTTACAAGAATTCGTGCTTAGTGAAGCGCCTTATCATTCAGTTTTAAATATGCGTAAAAATCAATAACTCCACATTTATATAGATCTATATGTATGCTTGTACATGATATTAGTGATATACATATAAGAATGGTTGTATAGGCGTAGTTGTCTCTGCGTCTGTCTGTTCAGAAAGCAGTGCGTAAAAATTGTCCACCCATTTGTTTAGTTCACTGTTTTGAGGAGTGCCTTTAAAAAAAGCCGAAGAAGTTTGATTAAATTCCTATGGATTATCTGGAGGTTAAAAGATCGAAAGTAGTTTATTCCCGCCTAATCATGGCTGGAGTGAGACCGTAAACACTACTATGAAGGCGAAAAACTGCGCCCCATTTTGGTTTGATTTGGTTTGGTTTGGTTTGGTTTACGGCATATCAACCTCAATGGGCCATTTAATGTCGACAACTTTTTTTTCTGGTAATATTTTTATTTTGTCAATAATCTATTTCTGTTAATATTAATGTATAGTTGGTAATATTATTTTTTCAAAAGCTTATAGTTGATAATATCATTT